GTCACAGTCTAAGATGCAAAGAACATTGTCGTCTATTGTAAACTGTACGACCAGCAAAATACTTTCAATCATGAACATTTCTACATCTGATTTATTGAAGCATTTGCTGAAGCAGCACAGCAACATGAAACTTACAGAAAGAACCTCCAGCAGCTACTGTCACTGATGTTTGGAGTCATCGGGAGAGAGTGGCGTTAATGTAATGTTTTGTAACTACTGAATACTGCTCTTATAAACAGGCTACATGTGCAGAAACAGCTGTTTAAAAATCGAGATTTACTTGCTTTATTTTTGTTTCAGCCGGTGGCATTAAGAAACGTTAGGCCTAGGCTATATGCTTTGTAAAAACCACACTCCTTGCTGCAGTTCTTCATATGATATTATTTAAAAAGTCTTGAGAGACTGCTTTGTTTGGGGGTGATGAAAGTAGTGGTAGTGAAGCAGCGTTTCCCATAGCCTATAATTTGGATAATTATCAACGCAGACTGCCACATATTGATTATTTGATAGAATTTTTTTACTGGGTGTAGGCTATTTAAAATAATTTTTGATTGAGGAGCAATCAAAAATGATTTGATCGGAATGATCGGAAACACTGTACAGTAATATAGTAACCTAACTAGTAACGTAGCTACTTGAATAATAGCCCGGCTTTTATTTGCTAAAATCACTGAATTGACCCTGCCCTTATTTGGGACAGGTGTCCATATGGGACAGGCCTTTAATTCTTTATGCACAAAACTGAAACTACTATGAAACAGTTTAATTATTTCAAACAGAATAATACTTATGAAAAAATTATCAAATAATATCAAATACACGTCATTCATTTGTTCTAGCTCCGACAGACGGCTTATGCGCTTTTATTTTGAAGGCCGTAACCTCACGAAAACAGCAACATGGTGCAGGATGAGAAATTAGCAGACAGAGAGCGATGGACTTCACATGACAGGATTTACAACTTGGATACATTTTTCTGAAAAGCTGTTTTGATTCTTTTGATGGGTGGACCCTTACAGACTAAAGGAATATAAACGGACTTAACGAGCGCTTCAAAGTTAACGAGAGTCAGCACTTTTTCCCCTTTTCCTCTCTTGTATCTATGCAGGTTACACCAGTAAATCTAGAAGAATTAGACTTTGGGTCTTGTTGTTTCCGTTAAACAAACTTAACAGTGGTATTGTGGAGAATGTAACCGGTCTAACGATGTTCAGCATGTCGATATTGACATATTGATCATACCTTTAAACATTATTATTTGTACCCCCCCACATACCTGCACACCTGTTCTCACTTCTCCATCGGGAGCATATACCAGCCCACGTCCGTTCATCTCCACCAGATCATCTACTGTGCTCTGCTATGTTCTTTGCCTGCCTGAGCGTTGCTTGTTATGATCCCGTCTGCCTTCTCTAGTCTGGTCCCCTAGTGGAGAGATTTTCCTCCCCTCTCCTGCCTATCTGGTTTTGACCTTGAGTAAACTTGAATTTTTTTATTTTATTATTAAGTTGGTCTCACAGTCATGCTTTTGGGTTCAAATCTATTTAACTGAGCCTTTGTTCTAATTTCTCTTCTTTTGCTCCATTGTTTTTCCATCCATATCTCTTGTGCCTCACACTCTGCTCCACTTCCACCATCATTCCAGCTTCCATTTCTCTTCTTATCTCTCCACCTCAGCTTTTGTAGTGTCTGTCACTCCCTCTGCCTCCTCAGATTCTGCTTTCTCATTTTAAATTCTCCTCTGTTCTTTGGATTTTTCATCTGCTGTATTCATCTGTCCCATCTTCTTTTCCACGGCCCCCACAGCTCCTCTCCATCCATTTCTCCCAAGACTCTCTCGCTCTAAACTGGGACCGCCTACACTCTATTTTCCCTTTAATTATTCCTCTATCCCATCTTGTTTTTCATCTTTCTCTACCTCTTCTCCTCCCTGCCCTACTTCCATCCTTTCCAAGCCAGGATCTATGTTCCTTTCCTCTCTGGTACTCCCTGCCCTTCAGGATTCTGCATTTGGTGGATGGAATGATATCCTATAAAATTTAATTTTGTCATCATATCTACAGAAAAGACTGTAGTTGCAAACATTATTAGGTCAAATCAAATTATCATGACGCAAATTTGGTTAGGATTAAGTTTTTTAAAGAGAACTATTTGGCAAAATGATTTTGGTTCGACCTGGAGCCTGTATTAAGAAGCAGGATGTGAGGTTAGCAGGGTAACTTCAGAGTTAACAGTGACTGTGTCCGAAATCCCCTCTCACTCACTACTACCTACTCCTTATGTAGGGAGTTGAATGTAGAGCACTATATAGTGAGCTCACTTACATTATTAAAACAACACTTTCGGACACTACTCCCATTGTTATTTCGGCACCGTTAATTACGTCATTGCCGTCAGACAATCAGTTTTTTCTATCAGCGCAATGCATGATGGTATATACGGCTTGGTTAGTGACCATCGGTTGAACACTACTTTTCAAAATGCATTCTGGGATACATTGAGCTGACTATATAGGGCATAATAATCACTGTACATTTGGACAGCGCTACAAAACGGCGAGCTCACTATATAGTCCACTATATAGTAGTAGGGCAGGTTATGTTCCAGATAAGAGATCAACGCTATTAAAGCACCACCAACTGACTAATCAGCCATGTTGGAAATTAAATCACCATCTGTAGGATCTGGCTGACTGTTTTAAAGGCTACTTTTATGTTTGCTGTTGGTGATGTGGAGATGGTTTATAGAGACACTGCCCCACCTTTTGCTACTTGGGCGCCGCACAAGTAATGTGGTGAGTTTTCAGTAAATGATGGGAACTGAAGCTGTGGTTGAGATTATGGCATAACTTACACATTCAGTCGGAGATTTCTGTCTTCTTGCAAGTGACAGCTGCAGCTGTGTTGCTTTTCACACTATTTGTCTAATATTATAGTTTGCTCTTGGTTTGTATAATATGCCGCTCTGCTACCAGTATGCTTGTCCATGTTGATGACTGGTCGTCTGCTGCAAACCTGCTGCTGTCAGATTGATAACCAGTATCGTGTGATCGCTTAGCCTGACCGCAGTTGTTAGTGAAGCCAGATTATGAAAAGACGTCCTGTGTATGTGTAACTTGCTTTTTAGTATAGCCCCCTGGTATTTAAGCTGGCACAAACACTAAGTCATTAGCATAAACTGATCACAGGCCTAATAGCCCCAGGAGACGGCAGCGTAGGCAGGGCTTTGCAGAACCTAATCATGGGCCATGGTAAATAAGGGAGAGGCACCAAAAAATCACTTAAATTAACAGATTTTTTTAAACAAATATTAATTAAATTGCAAAAGACATGAGATTTGGATGGCAGTAAAGTCTGTGGTGGAAGTGAGTGGGTGTTTTCTGGTGATACTGGGGCTGATGCTAGAGATCATTAAGACTAATTAAGAAATGTTAGGTCATAAGTAGGATCTCTCCTCACCACAGAAATTCTGTGGAACTGCTTAAAGTATTGAGATTATTAAGTATAACTAAACCTGCCCCTACAGTGATCCCCAGCAGCTTCATTCATGCATTTATTAATGTTTTGATGTTTAGTATAGCTGAGTGTGCAGTTTAAACTAAACTAAAACTAAGAAGTTGATTACATGGTTTGTGTGTATGAAGTATTACAGTCACTGTTTATGGTCAAGAACTTAGTAGCAGTTGATTAACAACTTTTTTAGAATATGCAATTCATTTAAAAGAGTAATGAAAACCATAAGTGCTTTTTCTCTACTAACGATAGCACTGGCCCCCATAGACAACGCATACTAAAAGTACTGAAAGTACACAAAAAAACTTACATAGTCTTTGCTGTCTGCCTCTTGGTTATCTTCATCCTCCTCCTCATCACTTTCCTCACTGCTGTCATCTGGATAAAATAGAGAAAGCAGAGCAGCCAGTATGTATGTATGCGTGATTTACAGTGTGTTTGTGTATTTGCTTGTGTTTTCTTAGGTTACATTTTGTTAAGCACTTTGGGCCATGGTGAAACTGATTTAATAATTCATCAAAAATGCACATCCAAACAACACAACAGGCCAGGAAATGCAAATGCACTTTATCAGATACCATTCATTCTTAGTTTTATCAATATTTATTTTCCAGTGTGATCAGTCAGCCGGTCTGGTTGCAATAACTAGCTAAAATCTAAATATTCCCCAAATAAAAGCACTGAATTGTATGTTACATTTAGGATGCTATGCTATCAAAGGTGCTTCTGCTAAATCTGGACATGAAGTGAATGCTGATACTGTACCTGGTGCCACATCCATATCAGGGACATGTGGTCTTCCAGGCAGGGGGAACTTGTATGCAGACTGATCTGATGTCAGTGGTAGTGGAGTTCCGGGAAGACACTTCCTCATCAGCTGCACAGAGGGCTCCACCAGAGACTCCAGACCTTTACTTAATAAACATTTCTGCAGAGAAACAAACAAAAATAACATGGAAGCCACATGAAAAACACATGCTCTTTAGCAGGCCTGCAGGAGATCGGAATGCAAATGACATTAATCAGAATTGGAAGTGTGCTCTGTCTGCTGCCAAAGTAGCCTGTTTCTATCACTAAACCAGTAACAATATACACAACCCTAGATTTCTCCTTGACACACACATCTGCCCTTACTACTCTTTGTAGTGGTTTGGGACTTTCTTCCAGCTAAACATTTCAAAGATCTTGGGCCATTTTCGGGTCCCACAGTGCTGAATATTGCTGATCTGTCACTAAAAACTGGAACTGTCCTCACTAGCTCTAACACTGTTATGGTTGAATTATTACTTAAGATACCAAACTTTGATCTAAATCAATATCGAGCAGTCTCTAACCTTCCATTCTTTTCAAAAGTATTAGAGTTGTGTCTCAGGAACTTTATCCCACATATTTAACAGGAATCTTTTTGAACCTTTTGAGTATGCTTTCATGGCCTGTCACTCCACTGAAACTGCACTTATTAAAGTTCTTAATGATCTTCTGCTTACTATGAATTTGGATTCCACCTCAGTGCTTCTATTAGCTGAAAGAACAATTAGGTAAGACTGTGTTTCCTTCACCTCTTGGCCAAATTTCATGTAGTCACAGAATTAATTTCCACTTCTACGCTGATTGTACGCAGATGTATAATAATATAATAATAATAATAATAATAATATAATCCTTATTGGTAGAGCACTTTTCAAAAACAAGTTACAAAGTGCTTTAACAAGTGTAAAGAATAATACAAAAAAAATAAGATAAGAGCATGAAAAATTAATATAAAATTAGTAAAATACAATAAAAGGGATAAAATAAAGTCAAATAAGATCGGGAAAGGCTCTCCTATAAAAGTATGTTTTAAGAAGGGACTTAAAAGAGTTCACTGACTCAGCCGACCTGATTTCCTCGGGCAGGCTGTTCCAGAGCCTCGGGCCCTGACAGCAAACGCTCTGTCCCCTTTAGTTTTCAGTTGAGACTCTGGAACAGACAACAGACCTCTGCCCGAGGATCTCAAGGTACGTGCTGGTGTGTATGGGACTAAAAGGTCAGAAATATAACAAGGCGAGAGGCCATGAAGAGCTTTAAAAGTGATCAATAGAATTTTAAAGTCAATTCTAAAACACTGGGAGCCAGTGTAATGAAGCTAAAATAGGAGTAATGTGGTCATATTTCATAAGTGCCTGTAAAAGCAGATAATCATTCCCAAATTCTAAAATAAGAACTGTGCTGGTCTATGTAATAAGATGGGTCTCGATATTAATGAACGCAAACAGAAGCATTCTCAAATGTATTTCGGGATTTTTATAGAAATGACTCTCCACAAAAATATTTTTCAATGCTTAAATGTTTATTGTGTATAGAAATGTACAAAAGTATATACACATGTAAAAAAAATAACGTTCACATATGTATTTCTGTGACACATATTTATGAGTTGTATTACCTGAATCATGACTTCTCAAACACAGGGATCGTTATTTCTGCTTTTAAGGAATACTTACAGACAAAACTTGGTGATAAGTGAAAACATTTATTACTAGTTGAAAGTGTTTACAGGTGAATGATTATTACCAACAATTATACTGTAATAAATCAAGGTTAAACAGATGGAGGGGACAGGGGACATGGAAATTTTATATTATTGTTCTGTTTGGCGATAGATAGAGTACTTGGTTCAGTTATCAGGGAGGAAGAATGATTCATGTCATGGGTCTAATTTCTGTAAGATCTAAATCTAAGCTTCAGAGCAATCTGACATCAACTCTTTTTACAGGATGTAGAATATTTGCCTACTTTTTGCCGCTTTCTCAGCAAAACCCTCAGGGGGGCCACAAACTGTCACCAGGTTACGATGCACTTCAGGTCCTTCCAAGACGATGGACGATGTCCACGGGAAGACGATGGTGATGGAACTGGTCAGGTTAGACAGCAGTTTTGTTCCAGTGGTCCCTCGAATGTCACTGGCAGTTACCTGGTAGGTCTTATTGCAAAGGGCTGCTTCTTAGCAGATGACAACATGAGTACATACTGTTCTTGGTCCATGGTAAGTAGTAGTTGTTTGCTGATCGAAACTAATTTAATGATACTTATGGAAATACAAAAGTCTTCACAAAAACTTGCTTTAAGTTATAATACCCGCAATGAAGGCGAGGTAAGAAAACTTTGAAAAGAAGATTTCTCTGACGAAAAAGATAGAGATTAAAAAGGCATATTGCTCCTTTGGTTACAGAGAGCAAAATGGAAGAGGACAAAAAGAGTCTCTTCCGGTTTTATATGCACTTATTAAAGGTGTGTATCAGAAGTGGAGAAACCAAACTTCACGCCAAGTGTTGTGTTTTCTCTGGCCCTTTCTCTCAGAGACATGTGTAGTTTTTCTATTTATGAATTTGTTTAAATACACATCATACATGCACTAACCACATATTCGTTCTTTCAACCATAACTATGGGGTCAGTGGTATGTTATCATGTTTTGCGCTAAACATTTTACAGTATAGCAAACAGGTCATATATTCACATATCACTCAATTATGGCATTCCAAATACTTTCGCTCTGATACACAATTTCTGAAACTTTGGGAGAAATCTAAATAACAAGTCATTCCAACACACTGTTTATAAGACCGTTTTTAGATATGGCTGACATCAAAACAAAAGAGACGATATTATACTTGACCACTAGATGACCGGATGGTCACATGACAAAACTGGATTAATTCATGAAACAGTTCAGACATCACACATCGTACAGATACCATAGTTGGACTGTCATACACCAGCATACAGGTTGAATAATATTAGCTAAATTGTTTACAGTTGTATGTTAATGAGCTTGTAGTCAGTTCCGTAAGGTCTTTATGTCTCCCAGCTGTGCTGTTAATCTTGTTGTCGTGACAAACACCTAACTCACAGAGGAGTCGGAGATGTGGTACCAGGTCTGTGAAGGGTGTTAATGCACCTTCTAAATCCAGGGACAGTCAGATTAGAAGGTTAATCTGAGATCTCAAAAGGAGCCGAGCAAGGCTTTGATCTCCTCCAAAACATTCACCTCCCAATCTCTGACTGGGTTAGGGGCATTGCTGAACCCCGCTGTTTTACTACAAAACTGCCTGTCATGTGTAGATTTTTTGAGACTCCCCTGCCAATCAGATGTCACCTTCCATTTCAGCCAATAATATGAGCGTAGATTAGAGGGTATGATTTATTATAATGATATCTTAGTGCAAACACTGCATTTGCGCAGTCTACAATTAAGAGCATGGGACACCACATCATGGAGTCTGGGAACTAGTCTCCACAGGTGAATGCAAACTGTTGTGCATGATTACATATGTTTAAGTTATGAATGCTTGCTAAGTTAGTTAAGTGGTATTTAGCACTAGTGTCTAAAATTATCATGATCATATTATGGCTAGTTACAAGTTATCCTAAGTTGTCTGTTAGCATTATAGTTAACTTGTTAGCTAATGTCCATGTGCACTGTCCAGTTACGTGAAATTTGGTCATGCCTCACCCCTTTGAAACCCCATGAAACTTTGATAAACATATAGGACAATAACTTAACAATGAGGAATGGACACAAAGATTGGGAATTAAATAAGAAGTCTGTTTCAACCTCAGACAGTTTGCACCTGTTTTATTTTACCACAGCAACTGTTGCAGAACATCCAGTGTCACCCTAACTGCTGGATCCTACCAGGCACGACTGATTCTAGACAATGCTTGTGATTCCACCAGATGTGCCACAGCCTGTTTCAGAAACATCCTTGAAGCGTCCTTGGCTTTGCTCCGCGAACAATACATGCCTAGTCTATTTTTGATGGAAAAAGTGTCAAGCTGCACAGAGCAGATCAAACCAGGCAGGAAGTCAGACAAGGAAACATCATAGAGACTCCGGTCAATTTTCAAAATAAAACACCCTGTGCAGACTCCCAATCGTATATCAACAAGAAACACAATTAAAACAGACAAGAAAAGGCAGGCAGGCACTCTGCTTCTGAAACATTCCCTGTGGTGTATGAAGCCGTGCAGAGGACGGAACAAACCATTAGAGAGGTGTGCCTGGTAGTAGAACCAGGAAAACATGTTCAACAGGTCAACAACATCAAACAGGCCCTCTTCCGGTGGGATTTACAGTAAAGCTGTGCAAAGGTGGAACAAAACCTTTGCGCAGCCAGAACCTGCTGTAAAGGTGCCTGGTAGAATCCAGCTGTTACGCCAATGGTTGCACTTTGTAATAGTAGTGTTATTGTTATTGTTGTTATTTAGTTATCATGGAATTTTCTTAACATGTGCTTCACATTTGACCTGGATAAGCCGAGCCTTATACAATGTCTTGTATGTGCCTTATGTTTGTATCATATTGGAGCTATCAAGTGTTGGAGATCTGGGTTTAAATGGCACCAATGTTTATATTAAATAATGTAATAATTATTATTATTACTATTATTTACCCGCAACCCTGTGCACAGGATAAGCAGTTGACGATGGATGGATGGATAGATTACTATTATTTAACAATAGAATATACTTTTAGTTAAATTCACCTCGGGGCACCACTGATAAATGATTGGTCAGGTCACCAATCATAGCTGCAGCTTAGTTCATGGGCTGACTTCACACCTAAGTGTGAATTTCTGGAGGATTCAGGGAAAGGTCCAATGGCTCACATTATAAAAGTTCAGTTATGATCACAAATGAACAACTTCATCTGTGAGGTCTCTGTGATCCCAAAATATGGAAGATAGCTAAAGTTGATCCTGTCCATCTGTATAGAATGGAAGTACAGATGGGTGTAGAGGCTCTTTTTTTGTTCCTTTTCTCCTCTCTTGTGAGAGGTAGAGAGGGAGATTTTGTTACCAGCAAGCTAGCTGAAAGAGCATTATTGAGGCCTTTTTTCTTTTTTGCATAGAGGACTTTGACATCCATATCATAAGATTTGTTAAGC